TCAATGCATCTTTTTTTTTTTTTTTAGTTTTGATTCTTAATTATATACTTGTGACTCATTTGTAATTTTTTGAAAATTTGGGACTATTGTTGAAATTAATTCTTTATTTTTATTTTATTTTTTTATTTTATTCAAATATGAGTGTATATTAGTCATTTAATAGCTTTTAATTGAAAAAATTGATCAAAATGATGATTTCCTCGATGAAATGTGGAAATAAGGGTAAAACTGTAAAAAAATAAAGAGAGCCCTACAAGTTGGCTTGGCTTATTGAATTTTTGTGCTTCAATTGTTTTATCCCTTGGGCCAATTTATGGGCGTGATGTGGTATCTGTTGTAAACAAACAAGATACCAGCATCGCTCTGATACCATTTGTTATGAAACCAACAATTAGATTAAAATGTTGAAATTATATGACATAACAATGAAATATTTGATTACAAGCAAAAGAACAAAAAAAAGATAAAAAAATATGACAGATGAATTAAGAGATTTTATTATACCAATAATAATGTAGAAATATACAATTGATCCTAAAATTCTGGTAATCTCTTTTCTCACGCTTATGAAATTATATAGAATAGCCTAATATTTATACAGAATATGTAGGAGACATTCAAACTCTCCTGATAGAGTTGGTGATGAAGTAGGATGTCAAAAAATCAAGTCCAAAAATAAAAATAAAAGAAAACGCAGAAAACCCAAATAGATAAGGTGACGCCGCGGAGCCCACCTTCAGGCGCCCTAGCATTGGGACCTGCATCAGGACTGGCGTCGCGACGTACTGAATTTTTTTTTTTTCCAAAATTGTTTTCTTCATCCCGATCTCTTCTTCAAGTCCAATACCAATTTTAACTCTCAATGTGCTTCCATAATAAAATTTCAATTTAACATAGGATTTCAATAATATTCCAAATTGAATTTTTCTTGACGATGCACTTCAATTACTTAAATAAGGAATTCAAGTCACGCCTAAATTCTAACAGTATCAATGGANNNCCTAAATTCTAACAGTATCAATGGACGCAGGTCAAATTATATTGAGTTGCCTGTAGCAACGCAGTTAAGCATGTAATGCATAGTGGGAAAATCAACTCATACAACTTTATTGTTGGTGGGATGAGATGATATGAGTGTTGAATAAGAATTTGCGTTTGACTTAAGCACCAGTCCGTACTATGATATTTAGAATTGGTAGAACTTCGAGTTATCAAATGGATTGTCGTTAGGAGATTTGGGTTAAGACCTCGGCATAATATTTGATGACACTTGGCCCATGTGGTGGCCATTATTTACCAAAAACAATATTTTGAATATTATATATTTGGAGAATATGTGATTAAAAATTAAGGAAAAGTTTCGAATCTACGTATATAATATTTTATTGTGTGAACGAAAATGAGAGTGTAAAAAAAAAACTTCAATTTAAAGGCCATCAAACTAGGGCTTGATTGGCCATCATGCCACAAATGTTGTTAAATAGGAGCTACACAGTTGGCTTTTCTGTTGCCACAAATGTGTGCAAAGTGAATTAAGGACAGCCTCTTTTGTTGCCACAAATGTCTCTCTTTGCCTTGTCCAATGCCCCATAACAATAACATGTCTATATAGATGTTTCCATCTTCTTATAACTAATCCCACAACAAGAAGAATCCAAATTTGATTTTTTTCTTTCATATATTTAATTCTCTTTTGCTGATTCAAAATGAGTCAAGAACAACCCATGAAGCCTGAATCTCTGCAAGAACCTTATCAAGGCAATGCTGCTGCAACAGTGCAATCGTCCGAAAATCGCATGTTCAGAGAAGTACAGAAAGAAGGTCCGGCGGCCGCGTTGCAGTCAGCAGGCAACACGGGCAGTAACATTGTTTCTGATGAAGGTGTAGTAATCACTGAGACTAATGTGCCCGGCAAGCGGATAATCTCTGAATCAATTGGTGGACAGGTTTTTTCTTGCACATAATTATCGTTTTTTCTTAACTTAATTAGTTGAACAAAATGTAACGACAATGAAAATTCTAAATCTTATCAAAATATGGATTGACTACAACAAATTGCCTTAAAAATCCGTCCTCAAATCGCCTTGTAAACAGTCTATATGGAATCGTAATCACAGGTTAGCCATATAATGATCATTCCATGAATACACACAATGTTTCATTTGTTAGTATATGTTTCTGCATGTGTGGTTTAATGTTATCCCTATTGCAAGGTTATTGGGCAAGACATTCAACCAGCCCGGCCACTTGCCCCAGAATCTGTGTATGAACAAAGAGGCAACATCACAATTGGTGAAGCACTTGAAGCTACTGCATTAACAGCAGGACACAAGCCTGTCGACTATAGCGATGCAGCCGCAATTCAAGCTGCCGAAGTGAGGGCAACTGGCCGTACCAGCATAGTACCGGGTGGCGTTGCTGCTGCTGCACAATCTGCAGCAACTCGCAATGCTCGCATGACAAGAGACGAGGATAAAACCAAATTGGGTGACATTCTTACGGTGAGTATCTATCTCGCAGTGCTATATGTTTTCATCTATTCACTCGTACACGCATTTGATGAACTATCTCATCAAAATGGTTTAAGTTGTTGGAGAAGGGTCAATTTTTAAATTCATTTTTCATCATAGACTTAACACGTGTTCATAAATTGGTGATGGCAATTTTCGGACTTAGATCTTTTACTCGCTATAATATTATATTGAACTATCTCATCTAAAAGCTTTAGTAACCAAAGGAGAGACATTTCCTTAGTTAAATTAATCGATTTAAGTTTTTAGTTGAGGTGGCTAATTTGATTTGTTTAAATTTCCATCCTTCATTATTATTGTGCAAGGCATGTTTGATATAAAGTATTGGATACTTATCGACAATATAAATGAAATAGATTTCAAATTTGTTGTGCTCCTCAGTACTATCCATAGCAAGTTTTACATAAAGAATTTGATAAGATTGAACAATACAAATACAATGAATGGGATTTTAATTTTGTTTCTTTCATTTTTTACAGGACGCAAGCTCAAAGTTACCCTCAGATAAACCAGTGACACGTCGAGATGCTGAGGGGGTGATAGGCGCCGAGCTGAGAAACGACCCGAATCTTTGTACTCGACCAGGGGGCGTAGCAGCCTCTGTGGCTGCAGCTGCAAGGCTTAACCAGAGTAACATTCCATCTTACACTCAGCAGGATAAATAATCTCGTTTCTGGGTCAATTAGGCTCAACTCTAAATAACACCAAATATTTTAGACAGGACTGATTGTACACCAGAAATGGTGCCTTTTTGAGCACATTCAATTCAAGTTATTATTATTTTCAGATATTGGTTTCCTTTTGTGGGAATTCTACTTTGTATTTATTTTTTTCTTCTTTACTTGAGAAGCAAAAAGGTGCTTATTTATTTGTTCGTTCTTAGGCATAGCTATCGAATGTACCCATGTCCAATTTATTGCTAGTACATTTCGATAATCTAGATCACACATGATCGAATAAAATTAAAAGAGGAGATACACATAATTCAAATTTAAAATAATCTTGCTCAATCAAGTAAATCGTACCAAACTTACACAATCAGTCAGGAATAGGATGTAAGGATTTCCATTTGCAAATTTCTGAGACCAACAGAAAACTCCAAGGCATCATTCATGGCATTTTTAGCCCCCACCAATGCCTCCTCCAGGTTCTCATTTACCATATAATATGAGCAAATTTGGCTAAGAATTTTATCATGTCTTTCTTCATATCTTATTACTCTTTCTTCAGCTTCATGCAGAGTTTCACATACAATCTTTAATTTCTCTTCTGCTGCTTGTCGGTTTTTCCTTCTTCGAAAATCTGGAAACAGAAAAATGAAAGATGCTGAAAACCCGAATAAGGCAAATATAATGGGCTTGCAATCCATTGGAGAAATNATTGGGTGACATTCTTACGGTGAGTGTCTATCTCGCAGTGCTTTATGTTTTCATCTATTCACTCGTACACGCATTTGATGAACTATCTCATCAAAATGGTTTAAGTTGTTGAAGAAGGATCAATTTTTAAATTCATTTTTCATCATACACTTAACACGTGTTCATAAATTGGTGATGGCAATTTTCGGACTTAGATCTTTTACTCGTTACAATATTTTATTGAACTAGCTCATCTAAAAGCTTTAGTAACCAAGGGAGACACATTTCCTTAGTTAAATTAATCGATTTAAGTTTTTAGTTGAGGTGGCTAATTTGATTTGTTTAAATTTCCATACTTCATTATTATTGTGCAAAGCATGTTTGATATAAAGTATTGGATACTTCTCGACAATATAAATGAAATAGATTTCAAATTTGTTGTGCTCCTCAGTACTATCCATAGCAAGTTTTACGTAAAGAATTTGATAAGATTGAACAATACAAATACAATGAATGGGATTTTAATTTTGTTTCTTTCATTTTTTACAGGACGCAAGCTCAAAGTTACCCTCAGATAAACCAGTGACGCGTCGAGATGCTGAGGGGGTGATAGGCGCCGAGCTGAGAAACGACCCAAATCTATGTACTCGACCAGGGGGCGTAGCAGCCTCTGTGGCTGCAGCTGCAAGGCTTAACCAGAGTAACATTCCATCTTACACTCAGCAGGATAAATAATCTCGTTCCTGGGTCAATTAGGCTCAACTCTAAATAACACCAAATATTTTAGACAGGACTGATTGTACACCTTAAATGGTGCCTTTTTGAGCATATTCAATTCAAGTTATTATTATTTTCAGATATTGGTTTCCTTTCGTGGAAATTCTATATTGTATTTTTTTTTTTTCCTTCTTTACTTGAGAAACAAAAAGGTGCTTATTTATTTGTTCGTTCTTAGGCATAGCTATCGAATGTACCCAAGTCCAATTTATTGCTAGTACATTTCGATACTCTAGATCACACATGATCGAATAAAATTAAAAGAGGAGATACATATAATTCAAATTTAAAATAATCTTGCTCAATCAAGTACATCGTACCAAACTTACACAATCTGTCAGGAATAGGATGTAAGGATTTCCATTTGCAAATTTCTGAGACCAACAGAAAACTCCAAGGCATCATTCATGGCATTTTTAGCCCCCACCAATGCCTCCTCCAGCTTCTCATTTACCATATAATATGAGCAAATTTGGCTAAGAATTTTATCATGTCTTTCTTCATATCTTATTACTCTTTCTTCAGCTTCATGCAGAGTTTCACTTACAATCTTCAATTTCTCTTCTGCTGCTTGTCGGTTTTTCCTTCTTCGAAAATCTGGAAACAGAAAAATGAAAGATGCTGAAAACCCGAATAAGGCAAATATAATGGGCTTGCAATCCATTGGAGAAATCCTCTGATAATCTGAAACAAGAATGAAGGAAATTAATAAAAAAAAAAATATTGATTAATATTCCTTGCGTTGTTGAGAGGAAAGAAACTTACTCGTATGGTTGCTTTACATTTTTTCCCTTACTTTTTGACTTCTCTATCCCCTCGTATACATATGGTGACTTGAATTTTGTGGACTTGTTTTATTATTCAAGCACCTATATAGAGATATGATGTATTTTATAGTTTCATTGAATTATCGTTCGAAGTAGTCGCACATCTTGTACTCATCTTTAATATAGAGAATTTCTCCCCGTCTACATGTGATTTTTTTTCGCCTTGATTTCCGCATAAATCTTGTGTTCTGGTTCTTAATTTTATAATGTCTATTCTCGTTTTTGATAATATACATGAATACATCAAATTGTCTATTCTCGTTTTTGGACAAATGTTATGGAGGCATTTTTCGAAATAGTTCTTTCTTAATGAGTAGAGCAAAGAATCCTGGTGTTTTTTTATAAGTTAAAAACTAATAATATTATTATTGAGAATGAGGGAAAATTATATCTGGGGTCATTGAGCTTTCAGAAAATTCTCAATTGGGTAACTAAACTTTAGTTTGTTTCAATTTAATCATCGAACTTCCATTTAATTTTTAAATATTACTAGTATGTCACATTCTATCACCTATAGTCCCCCAAACTGGATAAATTACTTAATTGCGCGTTCAATTGTAACTAATATCTTATATAGCCGCTATTTGGCACTCTAGAAGTGAAAATGATAAAATGGGAGTTAAATTAATATACTTCTATTAATTAAAAGGTTCATCCGTGTGGATTTTGATTTAACATGTCGATAACATGGTGTAGTATAAAATTAGCTTGACACGAGTGATTACGTAGAAGATTCATTGCTGTATGATTGACAATTAACTTTCATCAATTTTGGGAGGTAACATGTGATTGAATGGTAAAATGTCAATGGGTCGAGTTAAGGGGTTGAGTCAAGCCGGCTCGTGAGCAGATTGCCTCATTAATTAATTTCTTTTTTAAAATTAATATCTTGCTTTTATCACGTCATGTCCTCTCCATTACATTCTTTACCACCTTGAAATTACCTCAAACGGAGTGACAGGTTCCATTATATCAACTACAAAAATCATCCACCTATCATATAGGTGGCTGCTTTTTCAGCACCTATGACGAGCCTTTTAATGGGTTTGCTAATCGAGCCAACGAGTTGCCAAGTGCAAGCTAGTGAGTAACTTGCAAGGGAAATTCTTGGCTCGGTTAGGCTCTACTCAACTCGTGCTTGAAGATAAGGTTAAGTTTAAAGACTCACGACTCATCTCATAGACAAGCTAAATTGATGAGGTAAAGTTAACGATCCACGACTCGTCTCAGAGATGAGCTGAGTCGACGAGTCGCTCGAGCCTGTAGACATCCCTATGGAGTGATGAAAGTTAAATTTAAATTGAAAACAAAGTAAAGTTTAATGATCCAAATTATTTTTTTCTAAAAGTTCATAGACCACATACGAAAGTTACCCTAAAATGACATTCATCTCGACCTAAGTCACCCAACAACTCAATCATTTTATAGATAGGATATATCAACTTGGATCCAATAATTAGATTTTTATGCCCTCCGTAACATTGGTGCAACGCTAAGACAAATGCAAGGAAACAGAGCAGAAAACATCCAGAGAATAAAGAAAGGTAGTTGTAGCCCGAAGCAAGAAAAGTTACAAAATAGTTTTATATAATTCTTTCTCGTCCATGTGCATATTGATGATTTGATGGTCACACATGAAACGGTGATGTGATCGAATTTTCTTTTTAGCCAGTCCCGACTCCCGAGTAAATCATGTAGAACTCATGCTTAAAATGAGGTTATTGACCGAAGTACTTATGTTGACACACAAAATGTACAGCCCAATTCAAATGGCCCAAGAAAGGAAATGACCCAAGAGATGAAGCCCATTTAGAAAAATCAGGGTGAAAGCCCAACCAGAAATATCATTAAATATGATGAAAGCCCAAAAACAAAGGAGCGTTGTCACACAAGCCTGCAGAACGACCAGATGTTGAGCGAATGAAGTATCCTATAATCGCCCCGAGTGGAAGACCAATAATCGCCCAAAAAAGCA